CATCTATTAACATCAATTCTGATTAAAACTGCCTACCATTTGCCTTACTACCCCAGGTTATTCTTATGTTACGTATTGCAAAGTCTCCTGACATTTATATGTTTATTTACAGTTCAGTCTCATATACTGTATATAAAAGATCAATATACAAGATTTCACAAGACTGCGGTTCTCTGAAAAACTATGTACATTTAGAGGAACTGAGAGGGCAAATAGCAGACAGTTGCAACACTTGATCATTAGCAGGTGTGAGCACCTCTATAAAAGCAGAAGTGTTTGCTGGACTGGCGCATTCAGGTGTTTGTTAACACAATGCCACATTCTTCCCAGGAGAGGATGTCCCAGCAAATTCACCCCAATATCAGACTGTGCAATGCTCAGAGAAAATGTAAAACAAAGAAAACCCAAGAGCTACACCTCAGACCCTACAGGCCTCAGTTAGCATGTTAAATGTTAAAGTTCATGTCAGTGCAATTAGAAAAGGACTGAACAACTATGGCTTGTTTAGAAGGGTTGCCAGCACAAAGCCTTTTCGCTCTAAAAAGAACATGGCAGCATGGCTCAGGTTTGCAAAATGACATCTAAACAAACCACAAGACTTCTGCAACAATGTTCATTAGACAGATGAGACCAAAAGTGGAGATGTCTAGCATAATGCATGGCAACATGTTTGGAAAAGCCCCCCCATGGTCCATACTGGACCATGTCAGAACAGTGACCCCTAACACAGCAGAAAAAGAAAAGAATCAAGGTGTTGCTTTGGCCTAGTCTAGTCTAGACTGACCAGGCTGCCTGAAATGCTGTGGAGGGATCTTAAGAGAGCTATGTATCAACAAATGACCATAAATCCCAAAGAAACAGAAGCAATGTGAGAGAGAAGAGTGTCGTATAGAGGTTTTTACAGGATTCGGTGCAGCCCTACTAATAAACATCATGGATACCAAGAAAACTACACAGTTGAAACTGTTGCAAACCTCTACTGTGCACATATGTTGGTGCAAAAACACAAACAGCTCACTACAGTTTTTAATATTATTTGAATGCAACGTCTCTCCATCTTTCAACGGTTTGGCACACACATAATCCAAATAAAAAGCATATGTCCACAACAGTATGCAGTATATAAAACTACAGACATAACACAACAAAATCAACTCTTAATTATCTGGATAAGGAAGAAATTAATTGTCTCACCTCGTTGGTAACAACATCTGGATGTGGAGGAGAGTCGAGTGCACTGATGGTTTGCAGGATGTCGTGAGTCAGGTTGGTCAAATAGACAAGTGGATTAGCCACCACTGTCTTTACATTGGTTGTACAAGCCATCAAAAGAGGGATGGAGGTGGGCTGTGAAGTCACCGTCACCACAGATTGGATGAAGTCATCCTGGGTACAAATGTCAGAGATGAGTGTGTCAAATAATTACGGTACATCTGTAGATGTCTATCATAGTAAAAACAAACCCCCACACCTATACACAAGGACACAAACTAAGGTTACACAACAGTAAACTTAGCAAACTAAGAAAATGTAGATGGAGTCTACTTTCTTATGTCTTTCTCTAGAATCAGGAAAGAAAGACAGCTCACTAAAAGAACAAGGAAGAGAGGGGAGCTGCTTTGAACCTTTGACAGCACAGCCTTTTCTGTAGCTATAATGACAAGATGAGCCAACTCGTGTAAATGTCACACATGATTTCTACATACATTTTGTGTGAATGACAGTTAATGAGCAAATAAAAAAAGCTTTGGCACTGGAGGGGTGTCTGGTTCTTTATGTATCTACCAAATTCCTGAATATGACTGTGTGTCTAAGAATACCACAGACTTATGTTCGTCACTCTTGATGAATCACATTCAGCTGTCACCATCTTAACAGAAGCTCTGCACCCTGACTGAAGTCAAGGCAAAAGCAAAAATGCAAAAATTTCCTTGACAGCAAAGTTTAAATTTCACAACCATGGGAGCAGAGCTGGTACAAAATAATCCAATTTTATCTCAAATCATCGCTTGTGCTAACATTTAAGAGCACTGTTCCCATGTTGGCTCATTGAATTGTTTACCTCCTAAAATTTGACTCTCTAAATCGCCAGCCTGAGGCACGGCCCTCCCTTAGGAGCTCCAGGAATCAGTACAGCCTGTCAGCCTATTGCTGGCAGTGTGCAGACAGTTGCCTGGGCACAACAACGAGGTCTGTGCATGCGCGTGGTGGTGTGTGCTAACACAAGCTATTCAGATGGCTTCATGTTCCGTCTATCATGTGTACTCTTTGACTCATCTGCCCAGTATCATTCCCTTCAAAGAGAATATGCTTCAGTTAAATTAAGTGGAAACTCTGGGCGGATTATACTGCCCAGAATACTTCACTGTCTGTAGTGAAAAAGACCTGCTTTAAATATGACGCAGTATTCACGTATTGTAAGACAACAGAGTGGCCATAAAGAGAGCACTGTCATAATTAATTATTCTTGACTTGCTGCTTAAGACTGAATTAATAAGACTATAAATTACTGCAAGAAGCCCCTTTGAAAAACCAAACCAAAACTACAAACTAAGAAACATGGCAGTGTTAGAAAACTTTAAAGCTATACGCATCACTTTTGTCACTTTGAAATCCATGAAGACCAACACTAGCAATCAATGAGCAAAAAACTGTTTCATGTTTAATTCTAAACACGCTGATAAACGCAAAATCAAAGAGAAAAGCATGAGAAAATCTTCCTCTGAATCACCTGAATTATAATTATGTTGTAATCAACTAATCATTTCATATCAAATTACCCCCCCCCCCAACACACACACACACACACACACACACACACACACACACACACACACACACACACACACACACACACAAAACCCCCAATATTACTATTGTTCATTCATTCATTGACAAAACAGCTCCCACTGAAAAGAAAAGTTGCCATTTTAATTACCTGGTGAGATTCTTGAAGCAGCAGTATGAGCTCCATGCGTACAGAGGCCAGACCTCCTCCGTGTGAGCCGTGCAAGCTGCAGTAACTCAGAAACATCCTCAGTAAGGGCTGGTTACTCTGCAGCCAGTGTCTCCTGCTCCTGTGGCCGTCACCACGGGGGCTCCCAGGCTGACAAAAACATTCAGACTTCATTAGTTTTATAGTCAGTCATTCAGCCTTTCTGTAAATCCACACAGCTGGGTAGGGCACAAACAAAAAGCAGCATGCTTTGAAAAGGTATATATTAACCTGGTCTATCAACAATGGAGAAAAAAAGTAGTGGGTTTTCTAAAGTAATTTGTAAACACACAGTAGGTGCATTGTGCAAGGGTAAGTATATATAATTGGGTATGCATGTCTGACAAACAGAGATAATATTTCTTCAAAGTACGTCATTAGACACTGTTGCTGTTTTAATTTTAATATAGCAAGCAGCCAGCTATCAACACCCACCTGCTCCTCCTCCACTAACCCAGAAACAGGGACATCACCCTGGACCGACAGCTCTGGCAGGCAACGCTTATAGCTGCAGCAATGCTGGAGAGCCCCCACCTAAGGGGGAAAAGAAACAAAAACAAAACAGAATCCGATCTTAAAAATCAATTAATCAACAAGGCGCTCCTCATCCATGAAATGTAACATTTATATGCACACAGACAAGATGCTCAATAATCATAAAGGCAAGAAGGAGATGTGTGGGCATTATGTAAAATACAAAAGTTTTATTGCGTGGCTTCAAGTCTGCAGAAAGACTTGTTATATAACACAAATGAATGAATAAATACATTTTAAAAAAAAGAAAAATGAAATTTGACCTCAAAGTTTGCAAAGATGTTTAATATGTGTATGTCAGTACCTCTCTTTCTAACCACAGGCAGAGCTGGTAACGTAGCTTTCCTCCATCCAGTTCGTACCCTGTTGACAGTGTCCGGAGCTCATTGGTCATAATCTTCAAGCACGCTGCAAATTTCAGTTGAGTCACCAGGATGTCATCAGACGGTTCAATGTAATCATTGCTGTCCTCGCTCTCCTCAACCAGAGATACTGGTTCGTGGAACACACTACCGCTGCCACTCTTGCCATTTTTAGTTTCTTCTTCCTCATCCTCATCATTTTCTTCATCATCTTTGTCGCTATCCCATTTCAGCTCTAGGGGCTCATCTGGAACTACCACTGACGGCTGGCTCCAATCGAAACTTAACACTGAATCCGACCGGCTGTTTGATAAGCTGTTGCCCTCTGACTCGTAGCCATTCAGAGCTGACTGAGACCAATCCGGGTCCGATGCTTGTCCGTTCCTACTCCCAACACTGAGCTCAGCAGTGTTGCCTGTATCATCCTGGGGTCTAGAATGCTTGCGGACTTTGGGCATCTTGGAGAGGACTTCGAGTGCAAGCATAGGGCAGCCTGCATGCAAATGTGCATATGCAGCTGTGAAAAACAGTCTTCTCTCATCCAGGCTGATGGATTCAGCTCTGCGAACCTCAGCAGTCAGACCAACTTTTGCCTTGTTTGATGAGCCAAAATGCCGGCGAAGGAGGAGTGGGTGAGTACGCAGGTAGGTGTAAAAGTTGAAAACCTCAGGGTTACATGCCGACACAGAAGAGGTACCTGCCAGACAGAAAGTTAGACAAAACGATTTCATCTATTTCTTTGGCGAGTACTAGCAACAATACCTGCAAAGACAAGCTGTGATATTAGAGGAAAACAAAATAAAATATACCTGACCTAACTGAATCACTGCCAAAGCTTCAGACAACTTCAGGTATGCACTTATGAGAGAACTAATGACTGACAAAACTACCTTATCTTGTCACTCGAATGCAAATACAAGATGGCACCAGTGTTCACGGCAAGCCGTCTCCTCCGCTGTTGTTTGTCGTCCTTCTCTCTGCCCTGATGTCTTCACGTTACTTGCCTATGATCGCCAAACGCTTTTGAATCTCCGGCCTTTGGACTACCAGACGCAAGATTTTAAATGGAGATCTGAGAATCCTCCTCCGCTTTCGAAGGACTTTCCTGATTACCATCTATCTTACGATCTGGATATTTGCATCATGGACATAAAGGACTCTGGGATTTCTGATCACTTCCCGGTTTTGTTTAATACTCTAGCGATGTGGATTTGAACAGTGATGGTCCTGTGCGGCAAACACGCACGATTAACTCCCAGTCAATCGCTCACTTCACGGATGCTTTCCTTGACTCTCCCCTCTCTGATGCCAACTGTAATGGGGTTTTATCAGCGGATGAGCTTGCTAACCTCTTTTATACTACATGCGCTGACATTATTAACTCTGTGGCACCCCTGAGGATTAAACGTGCCAAATTCTCATAACCCTGGCTAAATGATACTACTCACGCCCTTAGGCGTGAATGTCGTCGTGCTGAAAGAAAATGGAGGAAAGACAAACTCCACGTCTCTCTGGACATCCTCCATAATTGTTTATCTAAGTATCAAAAGTCTGTTGAAGCTGCCAAATCTGCCTTTTTGTCTAGCATTTTTATGACTAATAGCCACAACCCCCGAGCCCTTTTTAATACTTTTAACTCTGTGATAAACCCTTGCACTACCACTTCTAGGGATGCCTCCCCTGCTCTTTGTGATACATTCTTAAAGTATTTCTCTGAAAAAATCTCAGCTCTAAGGGCTTCTCATCCATCTCATTCATCATCAGTTTTAAACCCAGTTCCAGCCTCTGAATGCTTGACTGTCTTTCAACAGTTTGAGCCAGTGTCTTATTCTGCTTTAAAAGATATAATTGATCATCTCAAAATCTCTGGTTCCCCGCATGATTTTCTTTGTTTTCGTTTCTTTAAGGAAGCTTTACATGTTATTGGTCCTTATATCTTATTTCTGCTGAATGCATCATTGTCATCAGGTTGTGTACCGTCTGTCTTTAAGCATGCTGTTGTGCAACCTATTATAAAAAAGAAAAATCTTGACCTAAATGGTCTCACTAACTACAGACCGATCTCCAAACTCCCTTTTATTTCCAAAATATTGGAAAAAGTAGTTCTAAAACAACTTCAGGCCTTTTTAGATGCAAATGGTATTAATGAAAAGTTTCAGTCTGGTTTGAAACCTCGCCACAGCACAGAGACAGCCTTACTTAGAGTTTTTAATGATCTTCTTTTAACCGTTGACTCTGGCTATTCCGTGGTTTTAAGTTTTACTTGACGTGACTGCTGCTTTTGACACGGTTAACCACAACATTCTTCTATCAAGATTGGAACATGTTGTTGGTCTCAAGGTTTTAACTTGGTTTAAATCCTACCTCTCAGAGAGGTCGTTCTCTGTTGCTATGGGGCAACACTCCTCGGCTTCTGCCCCTATTTATTGTGGTGTGCCTCAAGGGTCCGTGCTCGGACCTGCTCTTTTCTCTTTGTGCATGTTGCCATTGGGATTAATTTTTAGAAAATACAACATCTCCTTTCACTGTTATGCTGATGATATCCAGATTTATTCACCTTTGAAATCCAATGTGTCTGCTTCTTTGCAACCTCTGTTCAACTGTTTGCATGAAGTTAAAATTTGGTTATTGCATAATTTTGTTACATTGAACGAGAATAAGACCGAAATTATAGCCTTTGGTAGTCACGCTCTGCTAGACCAGTTAGCTGATGCCCTAGGCCCTCTCGCTAGCCATCTCTCGCTCACTGTAAGAAACCTTGGAGTGTTCCTGGATGGCTCTTTTGAACTTGAGAAAAAGGTCTCCACTGTGGTAAAAAACAGCTTTTCCCAGTTGTGTCAGATATCCAAAGCAAAGCCGTTCCTTCCTTTAAAGAACCATGAAAAACTTATCCACACATTTATCACATCTAGATTGGACTACTGTAACTTCCTCTGCTCGGGCCTCCAACACTCTTCTCTTTACTGGCTTCAGTTAATTCAAAATGCAGCTGCGCATCTTTTAACAGGTACAAGAATCTATGAACGCATAACTCCAATTTTAGCCAAATTACATTGGCTCCCTGTTAAATATCGTATAGATTTTAAAATTCTTTTGTTCACTTTTAAAATTCTGAATAATTTAGCGCCCAGCTATCTTTCTGAACTACTCCACTTATACAATCCCAGCAGAGCACTTAGATCGTCCAATCACATGCTCCTAGCACAACCTAGGTCTCGTGACCGGGCCTTTGCAACCGTGGCACCTAGACTCTGGAAAAACCTTGTTCATATTTGTACTGCCGAGTCTATCCAGTCTTTTAAATCACGTCTTAAAACGTATCTTTTTACTTTGGCTTTTGATTCTAACTAGTTGGCTGTTCTAGCTTGTTGTGTTGCTACCTATTGTTTGTTGTCCTGTTTTATTGTTTGTTTTAATTGTCTCATGCTTTTACTGACTGTGAAGCACTATGGTCAACATTGTTGTTTTAATATGTGCTATATAAATAAATTTTGATTTGATTTGATGTAGATGGAAGCTCAAAAACTGACAGTTAAATTAGAGGTGAAGCAACATGTCATAATTCATGCTGGTTATAATTTCTTTTAATAAATTGAGCTCTGTGGTCAGAAGGTTCCTTGTGCAATTTCAGCTCACTTAACGAACCAAAAATAGTTGCAAGGTTGTGAATGAGGACTTGACCTTAATGTGTATTACAATCTGCAGCACTTCCAGTCTACCTCGTGTTATTACCTGACAACCTATATTGGACAGCCCTTTGATATTCTGACAACACAGGCTATATCGAACAGAAATTTACAAAGGAATCTTTTGACAGGCAGATTCTGGCTGAATTACATTTTTACATTCATAAATAAAATGGCCCTTGAACCAACTGTTCTCTTAATATTTTAAAAGAGTGGTAAGATAAAAATCAGAAAACTGGATTGGATTCCTAAAATATACTTAAATTTATCTGAGAAACTTTGTTTAGAAAAGCTAAAGTTCACTGTAGACAGCTATTAAAACAAATGTGATCAGAAATGATGGTATGTGTATGAACCTAAATTTTCACTATGCTCTATTTTCTTGATTCTTCTCATAGTTATGTACAATTTATGTTTCTTAATTAGCTTAAAAAATAAAAAGATTGTAGTAATGTGAATCAGACAGTAAAACCAAGTGTAACAGATCTATTGTTACAAATATATTTTTTAATGGAATTTTTCTAGTTAAAGAACATAAAGAGCACAGCAGACCTACCAGTGTCATATTGGTTCTCAGCAGACCCAGATCTGGCAATGTTAGCTTTTTGTTCAAGTAGAGTATCCAAGGCTTTGCTATAGTCCTCCAGGACCCAGTAAGCCATGCTCCGCAGAAATGGGTCCTGGTGTGCCGGAATCTGAAATTCATGAACTAATTACAATGGCTCATCTTGCGTTTTTTCATGTTATGGATGCAAACATTTGGCATTTTGCTCAAATTATACACTTAAAACTGAAAAAACAACTTTTGGTGTCTGCACACCTGTTTGTCTTGTCCTAAAACATGTCTCTGGAGGATCTTTTTGTAGGTGGATGCCGTCTCAAACTCAAACTCATACAACCTTGAGATCACCAACGCTAGCTGGAGGTCCTGCATTTTCTCTATACACACCTAGGGGACGACAAAGAAGCCAGGTATTTTTTAGCAGTGGATTCTGTTACTGGCAAGACTGAGTGAGGTAGAGCAGATAAATAATACATATGACTTGGTATGTGTTGATCATCTGAAACTGTTGTTTACCTGTCAAAATGGAAAGGAAAGGGCCAGAAATGCAAACAACAAAAGCCTGTGCTCACAGCAAAAACTGAGTGACTAGTTCAAGTTGTTGTGGTTGCTCCCAACTGGGAAGGTGTGAGGTGCATATCAATGAGACTACCTCCCAGTCAGACAGACCTGAGCAAAGTCAATGATAGCCCTTCGCCTGAGTGGTGCTTATTTCCATAAAATACTTAAAGGGCTTCCAGTTACTCATGCAGATGAAATAATGTGACCCACTGCTTCAGGGACTCACTAAACAGAAATAACCTTGACAAATTAAAGGTTAAACAATCGAGATGACCAGGAGCAGCTTTCTGGACATTTCTGTGGCTCGCACTGATTGACGGCAAGCTTTCAAACTACTATTCACAACAAACACATGTTTTCACATTAACTAACCAGCACTCTCCAAATATAATGTATGAGGCATTAAGTAGAGTCTAAAAAGGGGGTCAGAGATGCTGGTTTATGAATGAGATAACATGCAACTGATAATTCACCCAAAAAGAAGTAGCGACAGCAACACCCAAGAGTCAATTGCCAACATCAAAAATGCTTCAGAGAATTGTGCTAAAAGCTTTTGACAAAGACACCACAGTGGAAATGTATTGAGGTGTTTTAATAATACAAAGAACACCACAGAAATACTGCTGATGTGCTCTGTTTTTGAGCAATGTGGTTTCTCTGCTTTTGAATAGATCATTAAACATTGCCCTTGACTATTGTTGAGGAAAAAAAACACACAAAAAAAACCCCCAACGCTTACAAAGTTACAGGCAGTTTGCAAATGAAAAGGAGGAGCACTTGACTTAACTCATACTGCAGTAAGGTTTCTAACTGAGGTTTAGCGAGCTGAGATGCGTCGGAGGTGTTGAAGGGAAATAACATGGTTCTTGGAAACACTGTTTTATGTCTGTTTTCCACTTGCCTCCACAGCATCCTTAAGGGAGCCGGCTAGAAGGAAGAAGGCTGCAGAATGCTGGAACCGCTGCTTTCCCAGCAGAGAAAAGGCATTTTTCAATGCTGCTTTTCTCCACCGGTCCTCGCTGAAGTTGTTGTGGAAAAACTCTGTCATTTTAGCATTCTTCTGAGACCTGGGGAGAATGAGATTAGGGATTGAAAGCAGAAATATTAAATTCACTGGTCTTCAGCATTCTAACATAGCTAGCCTTGGTTAAATCTAGTAACAAACGTGATAACTGTATGTGTATTTCATATGCAAAATCATGCCAGTTTCATTTACCTGTACAGTCCCCAAACCACTGCCTTCTTTTTCAGTGCAAGGTAAAATATAGCTGCATCCAGAGGATCACTATTTCTCTGAAAAGAAGCCTTGGCAACCTGACAAAATAGAAGGAAAAGTACATTCAGTCTCTACCACCGCACACCACACAGCATTATCCACAGAACAAGTTGCAAATTTATGGGTCATTTTAGGGAGTAACTCAGTATGCTGCAGTTTAGAGCAACCTCAGCACAACTGTACCCCCATATACCTGAGAGTATTTTACTGAACACCCATGAGGAAGCAAACAGGCCTAACATACTATTTGACATCCTTCAGAGCTGTTAAGTGTGCACGCTTAAATTATATGGATGCTTTTTTTTTTTTTTTTAAGAAAAAAAAGGCAATCTAGATCAATAAATAGATTCAATAATTTTTTTGTTAATGTTCACTCTGCAAAATACAATCGAAAAACGATGTTACATCGTTCACTGTACGTTGTTCTTTTTTTCATGGAAATAGCCATTAAACTATTACCAAAAAATAGTTTCCCATTTTGTGTTTATGATCTTCAAACTAGTTTCTAATATGTATTACCATGTAGATCCCATAAATTACCAGATCATGAACTATTTGATCATTAAATCTTTAGTAAGATATTTAACATGACACACATTTTAAAAAAAGCAAACTCTTTAATACGCAGATTTACAACCAACTATGGTCTGAAAATTTCTACTTCAAATTAGTCAATTTACAAAAGTGGCACTGGCTCAGGGATTAGCATTTGGGATCCGACAGCTAACTTGTTCGCCTCACCTTTTCAATGCATCTGCGTAACTTGTTAGTGCTGCGAAGCCACCAGCCAACACCCATTGAGCGCAGCTCAGGCCAGGTTGGCTCTCCCTTTTGCATTGCAGGTAGCATGTTCAGGAGCTCTTCCTCAGCTTCAGAGTGGAAACCCCAGGCATAGTGACATGTTGACAAGCCTGCAAAGAGAGGAAAAGGAAATTATAAATCTCTATTTTTACAAGGGGCGATGACATTACTGTGACAGAACGCAGTAAAAAAAATAAAAATGTCAATAACTTTTGTTTCTGCCCATTCAGGAATTACAGTGATAACAGGGCTATAAAACTACAAGCAGCAAAGCAGTACTTCACAAAAGACTCAAAATCAAGACCTCGCATCATTTTTGAAGGACATTTGACATAAAAGAGTTTGAAACAACACCACTGTACCTTGCCGCAGTAGTTGTGCTCTGTGGGCTGGAGGCAGCGAAGTAGAGAGGAAAGTGTGAAGTCTGACAGCTAGCAAGAACTTCAGACCGCACTCATCCAATGTCTCTCCCCCTGGAGGTAAAAAGAATGATAACAGAGCTTATTTTTTAAATTTTTACCCATCTGAAAAGTCTGTATTTATGTTATCATTTCCTTGCAGTACCTTTGCTCTTGCCCTGGCTGTCATTGAGGTCTATGCTTGTAGAAGCAATGGTGTCAGCCAGTGCCATGAGAGACATCTGCTCCATACGAGTTAATCCTGGCAAACTGGAATGGAGGAGATGGCTGGACAGAACCTGGGCGTGTTCTGGGCCGAAGTATGTAGGACTGTACTGGGACAGGTCTATAACCTGGAGACAGAAAAGGTGCCAACCTGTTAAATTCACCGTTTGATATTTCCAGTTTACAAAAGACAATACAGAATCGGTCAATAATGTTACAAAGCAGAAAACAGCACCACTGGATTCAATTTCACAACATAAGCATGATATCTATGTGTAAACTGACTATATAAGCTTTTTCAAATCCAGTAACCTTTTTTCAAAAATCTAGAGATTAGTTAATAATGTAGATTTCTAATGCATTAATAAGGCCCATCATGAAGATTCGACTGGCCTGCTTTTTCAGACAGGAGTAAATTTAAAATAAACTTTGAGATGCATGTCTTGGCTACCAAGAACAGACGGCCTGTTAGGAGCACTGGGACATTTCCTGCCGTAAAAAGGAGCTTTAGCCAGATGTGACACAGCAGGCAGGAATGAGCTGATGGACCTTTCAGAAAGAGTCTTATTCTCACTGCAGTGTCCCTGGTGCAAGGATGTGTGCACCAAAGATGCATATAAATGGGCCAGCATAAACAAGTTAAAAATGTGTTATTTTTATATCGTACTAAAGCAAATTTCTAGAATTAATATGAATACCGCTTGCCAAAAAACAAGTGCTTTCAGGACTGGGTGATAATATGTCGATTATTGACTTGCAGCAGTAAATCCTTTTGCATAAAACATCTGAGTCTGCATGTCTAAATGAACCCAGTGTCACAAAGTTTTCACAACAGCACAGAAAATCAGTTTTCTTAGAAAGTTAACAGTCATGTTATTTGCATGCACTGAATGGTAGGGAGAGAGTCCCAGTTTAGATTCATGCTTTCTGTAATCTATACAATGGAATACCGAAAGAGCTTACCTTATTTCCTGTTTTCTCTTGATCATTGTCCAGGGGGTCCAGATCCATCACGTTGGGTGTGTGAAAGAGCTCATCATAAGCATCGGTGTGGCTGGAACCATGCCCACTATCTCCACTCACACTGCCCACTTTATCTGTAAAGAAGTGTAGGACAGAGTTAAATAACACAAGACAAGTATTTCACAAGAGGCCTGAAGAAAAGTATCCTCCTGCTGGGAAGATGGCAGATTAAAATATCAGAGAGCTTTAAAAAAAAAAAAACAACAAGCCAAAACTGAATACATGCATTTGCTTTCATTCTTTTCACTATGTATCCCCAGACAGATAATGAGGGAAAATCTGAAAGAAGTGTAGTTGTTATTCTCAGTTTCTTCACCTTAAGGCGAGGTGGTTAATAATAGTAACTGGTTTTACAATGTAAATACCATTTCTTTGTTCTTGTTTGTGTACCTGCTTTAATGCATATCTGCAGAACATTTTTGATTTCTGACAAATATGCAGGCATACTCTGAAAAAGTCACAAACATTCATTTTTAATTCAGCACTATCAAACAGTCACCACTGGTCTAGCTTTAGCTTTATGTTCAGGGCTGTTATTGCCTCCAGAGGAATAAGCCCTATTCACATGGGATTGGTGTTAACAAGGGACTTTATGTATGACCTTTAAAAATACCCCCCAACATCTGCGTTTTATGCTGCATATTCACGTGACATGAGAAGTCTGTGTTTCACTCAGATTTACTGACGTCTCTAGATACCACCTGGAGACCTATTATTAATATTAATTAGTGCTGTCAAAATTAACACGTTAACGTAGCTGTCATCATGATTAATGCGATAAAAAAAATTTAACACTATTAATGCATCTGGAGTGCAGAATGACTCAAAATCCCTGAAATGTTTCTGTCCACGCATTTCGGGCAGTTTGTCCAAGTAGTTACCTTCGCACATACACAAATGGGCAGTTGATCTGGTAGTAACGGCCAGCTGAACCAATCACATTGTGCAAGAAGGAATTTTCTTTTCAACGAAGCACTTGCAGCTTAAAATATCACATTGACGAGAAGCATACGTTAGTTGGGAATGCTGCTAGGACTTTGGCTAACACGTCATCCAGCTTGCGACAAACCACTCACGGAGCATCGGGGACTCAGTAAGTCTACCTGGGACATATTGACTGACGCAATTGCCAAGTGAACTGCAACAAACTGCAGACCTGTTAATGTTGTTGAGAACATGTGCTTTACATCAGCGGTCCCCAACCCCCGGGCCACGGACCGGTACTGATCCGTGAGTCGTTTGTTACCGGGCCGCGAGAGTTGAGGCTCGGGTGTGAAAAAATTTAAAATTGTAATTGTTTGAAAGAACTTAAACTTAATCACGATTAATTAGAGATTAATTAGAGAAAATTCTGAGATTAATTAGTTAATTTTTTAAATCTATTGACAGCACTAATATTAATATTAATAAGCTGCCACATAACTGCCGAGCATGTTAAAAAAAGCAACAAGTTCTTTACAAAATGCTGCCAAGCAAGTCATGCTTCTGACTTTTGTTATTCTGATGGATTCAAGCTCGCCTTTTACCTTTCATTTATTTTCATTCCAACAGAGCATCCATAATGCTGTTTATAGAAAATATCAAAGAAATCAGTGACATCCTGATTATTAGTGGACTTATACTATCACAGAACATCTGTGTTTGATGAAGTATGTTATGTTATTAGCTGTGGAACATTTACTTTGAATCAGGTCACAGATGACTTCTGCAATCATTACATAGAGGTCCCAAGGTAAACCGTAAATGGACTGGTTCTTTTATAGCACTTTGCTATTCTACTTGAGCACTCAACGAGCTTTATACAACAAGTCTCAAATAATAATATTAGACTTGTGTGAATAAGGCTTCAATCTTAGTTGTGAAATGCTTTCACCTGCAGAGTGCCAGGTCAACAAGGGAAAACAAAAAGGCGAAAACAGCAGCAAAAAGTAGAAAAACAAAAAAGCCTAGGCTTTTGTACCCATGGTGCAGAGTGTTCTTGTTCACCAAGACTTTTCCTGTTCTTCTGCTTTCAGTTGCTCCCTGGCCCTTGCATCGTGTTCTATCACACCAGTCTTCTACATCTCGTCCTTCATTACATCCATAACCTTCTCTTTTCCTGCTGCCTGGCAGCTCCATATTTAACATCCATTTGCCCTAATATATCCACTATCCCTGCTCTGCACACATCCCGCCATCTCAATCTTGCCTTTAACATATTTTTGCATGAGAGTTTCAGTAACTTCACTTCAACTTGTGAAATGAATTTAATACTTTATTTCTATGTTTTTGCAGGATTTGACTCCAAAACTAGACATTTTACCAGTATTTAATTCATTACTGGATTTATGTACAGTGGTCCCTCATTTATCGCGGGAGTTACGTTCTAAAAATAACCTAATAAGTGAAAACCGCGAAGTAGCCAGCTTTTTCTTTTTTTTTTTACAATTATTATAGATGTTTTAAGGCTGTAAAACCCCTCACTACACACTTTATACACTTTTCTCAGGCAGGCATGAACATTTTCACACTTTTCTCTCTTGTTTAAACACCCTCAAAGTTCAAACCTTCGTAGAAAACTAAGTCCAGTATTATAGAATGAAACCAAAGATCAAACCCTGTTTTCACCGCACGTGCCTTTGACGGTACAAAATGTTTCGTTGATATTGTTGCGTTTGTTGGGGAGAAAACGTACAAACAGTACACACTGCTAGCAATCGAAGATTTATGTAAATGTGACAAGCTAAACGCATTCTGTACTGTACAGGAGACATGGCACGGAGGAGACTGAATGACAATGGTCTACAGCCAATCAGGACGGAGAACACAACGCGCTGTGTTAAAAAAAAAAAAAAAAAAAAAAAAGCAGAAAAAATCCGCGAAACAGCGAGGCCTCGAAAAGTGAACCGTGTTATAGCGAGGGACCACTATTCTTAAATCACATGCTGTATATACCCACCAGGTTTTGGTGTGTCGTCATCAGCTCCTAGAAGGGCATAAAGAGGCAGTGGAGGGATAGAGCTTATCTCTGTGTAGTCAGCGGACGAGTTCTCTGCTTTGCTGAACATCTTCTGATCTGTGGCTGTGCTGCCCCCAACACTGATGGTTCGAGACCGCACACGTTTTTCGGGACTGGTGGAACTGTCTTGAAGTGTTACGATTTCTCCAGCAATGCATTTCACGAGATGGGAGAGGATAGCTTTGGCACGGTGAACCTGAAGACAGATGAATAATATCAACATAATAAATCAGAATACATTTCAGATTTTCATGGCTTTTAACTGTATCGGTCCACCTTACTACAGCTTAAGCTATTGTGGAAATCAGACAACTATTATTAAAAGTTTTTTTTTTTTTTAAATAAAATATTAAACAGCCCATAAATAATGCTTCTTTGGTGCTTCAAACATATTGTAGCGATACCAAATAGCAGACGTTGGCATGTACTGATTATACAGTTTACTTAGTTCTGTCAGGAAATGTCAAGAAACCACACCGGAAGCTCCATTAGCTGAAGCAAGACGCAGGTAACTGGAAGCCAGCTACTTAATACTTCAATCCAATTTAGTCAGACACATCATCGACAAATGCATCCTGTGTACTCACGCAGGGGTTAAAGAGGGATCTGAAATGACATTCAAGGTCCTTCAATTACTGAGTAATTAGATTTGACCGGAAGTTTAATACAAAATGAGCTCAGGTTTCATATCCTGCAGTTCGCTGGTCCTTTTAGCTGATGCCACACAGAGCCATTGATTAAGTAACTTACTCAATGGCTCTGATGAAATAGAGATATTGGATGACAAATTTGATCTGTACATGACAAATTATCTGGATATTCCACACACAAAAACCTAATTGAGTTTTTACAAATGAAAAGACAATAAACAATTAAAAACAATTTAAGGTTTACACTGGACAGTAAGTGGGTGGCACCCTGTGCTGTTCAACACAAACAACAACTTACCTGATTTTATTCAAACAATGTTGGCCTAATTACTGCAATTGTTCTATAACTGCAAAAGAACCTATAGCATCAACTAAAGTAAATTTGGCAAGATTATATTGTCCTAATGTTATTTTATTAAAAAAAATAAAATCAATCTAACTTCAAACACAAAGATGGACTAAAGAACATATACAAGTTTACTACATTATTTTTAGTTGGAAAACACTGTCATGGGAGGAAAAAAAAGAGGAAGGAATAAATAAATACTAATACGAATGGAAAAAAAGAGTATCAAGAGTAAAGAGGATAGAGAGAGAAATAGACAGAATGTAATCTTGAAGACTGAAAGAAAACAGGAAATGAGAGACGGGGAGCAGGATATTGAAAGCAGAGACACACAGAAAAGGAGGCTGGAAGAAAGAACACAGGGGACAAAGGAAAAAAGACAGAGCACACAGGCAAAAACATCTGACAATACATAAATAGATCAGACACATACACACGCAGGTCCACAAGTATTTAGACAATGACATTTTTTTTGTAGTTTTACCACCACCGTGGATTTCAAATCAAAGAATCAAGATGTGACTGAAGAGCAGACTTTCAGCTCGAATTCAAGTATTACAATATACAAAAGTAATACATTAACTGTTCAGGAATTAGAGACATTTTTACACACAATCCCTACCATTTTAGAAGCTCAAAAGTAATTGGAGACTAGACTTACACTTAAAAAAAAAGCCTATTACTGCTAAAGACTGAGTACAAAAAGTAATTGAGTAATTTATTTAACTTACCTTCCCTAGGTCCATAAGCTCTAGCAACTGTACAGGGTGGTATTGGGGTAGAGTTGGAAAAAGTTGGTGAGCTGCTTCAAAAAGACCAGAATCTTCCATTTCTACAGGTAAGTCATAAGCGGTTTTCTTCCCACTGAGCTTCTGAGCCAGACTCGTCATTGATCGTGTCAGGGTCTTTTTGGGAAGAGTCAGTGAAGAAGTGGGGGCCCCAGGGCTGAGACCCTCCTCCTGGCACTGTCTGACAGCTGAGATTATGGAGGAAACACTGCTGCTGATGTCTTTGTCCTGGGCAACTGTGACAGTCGGTTTGGGTGGTGCTGGAGGCTGCCACTGAGAGTACACGTGCATTTCACACTCCATGCCAACTACCAAGATTCCATCTCGTACCCAGGACAGGGAGACTGGGATAGGTGGTGAGCCTTCGACAGAGGAGAACAGACTGACCGATCGAAGCAGAACCAGGCGAGACAAGCTTTGGTCTCTATTAGCATCAGAAGACACTCCCAGATCTGGAGGCTTTCCAGACAGACGACCATATATATATATCTTTGTCCCAATGCCAACTGTCAGAATGTGTGATCCATCCTCCTGGGAAACCCAGTCCAAGTGAACCAGACTCTTACCAGTAGAACCAAGACAGTTCTCGTTTCGTATGGATAAATCCATGTTACTTGGAATGCTGGCACTTGCAGTGGTACTACTACTTAAAGGATAGCTGGACATGGGGTCTGTATTGTCCAATACTATGGTCTGCTCCAGAATCCACTGCGAACCACCAGTGGACTCACACTGAAAGATGCCAATGTGGACCAGTGGCTCTCGAGTGCTTGCATTAGGGCTGTGAATGGGTTTTGGGCTATGCGGCACATTAAGGGTCGGGGTCAGGTAGGTGTTGGTGGTGCTGTAGTTTACAAATGGGGAAGATGCAGAAGCAGGAGGAGAAGCCAGAGGTCCATGAGCATTCAGATGAGGAGATAGGTTCAGAGGTGTGCTAGGCATCTGCTTGTAGGCAACTGCAAACCGTCCAGCGTGACAGCAGCTGACCTCAATGGGCCGGCCTGGCACACTTACTGCGCTGCTGCTGGGAAGTTTTTCCTCCACCAGGAGAGGCCATTCCTCCCACTGGTACACCAAGTTGTCCACAGTGGGGGGTTCTGTTGTCATGACATTACACCTCCAGAAGCGCACCTTACCATCAGAACAGGAAGTAGCAAGGAGATAAGGCACGTGGCCGGCTGGAAGAGAACATGACGCACTCAGGTGACCTGAGAAGAAAAGTAATGCACCATTAGCAAAGAAAAATTTGAACTATAATATCATTATAGTTTAATTTCTGTGATTTATTAAATTTTGAAGACATTTGGCAGATATATTAAAAAAAATACAATGTAAAATGTAAACGAAACAAAAGATTGCCTTCGTCTATTCTTATGTTTCATTCCAATAATGTTAGCAGCAGCTTTTTACTCAGGCCTCTTTCAGCCATACACGCTTTTCTTAATCTACAAGTCGGCTTCCTGTCTCACTGTGCACCCTGCTCATTTTTATCTTAACAGTGTTGCCACAATCTTACCACCTTTGACCTAAAAACCTTGACCTAAAAAAATTTATGCACCATGTTCAACACAGAACAAGCCTGAATGCATTCTTTCATATTAAGGTGCAAGTACACACTAAATTATAACTCAGTTCACAAAAATACATCACTGCCTTGGTAAACAACCTAAAGAAAAATAAAGAGAAAAATAAAATCCAATACACTTTTTGCATGAAGCACCCTCTTTTAGACTGTCTTAGGTTCTCACTGTATCCAAACTAATCTTATAGAAGCATTAAACCGCTTCATTTGTGAAAAGAAAATAAGTGTACATGATAAATTGATTTAAGTGCAGGAGAAAGCAAAGTCACAATCAGGTACTTCCACACTCTAGCACCAACAATGGACCATAAACATCACACAGTGGAAGAGACACAGTTGTTGGTGGTTTACACCGCCTCATCAAAATCATTAACAGCTCAAGTTCAAGGGGAATTCTTTACATGATGCAGACAGAGCCTGTGATACCACAGGTCAGATCAAACACTAATAATTATCAACTGAGTTCTGATGGCAATCTGAGTTTGTTGGTAGCTTTCAGCTGTTTTCTTTTTTAAGTGTTTTTCTGTGATTCTTACATTCCACTCATAACGTTTTTCATCAATTCATAATCACATGTTACAACAAAGGCAATGTCATTAATTACTTATAATAAATCATCCCCAATACAAGGACACTGATGGAGAAATAAAAGGAAACTACGATGTGCACTTTACTTCAGACGGGCAAGATGTCATTTATACGCAACGGTTTAATCATTTTTGATGGGTTTACTCAAGAGTGTGTATGGATGTTGTCCCATGACTACATATAGCATATAGACTACATATTAGCTTTCTCTAAATATCAAAATTGAACCATCCCGTTAGGAAAATGCTACACAAACTGTTACGCCTCGCTTACTGTACTGACAAGTCTCGCCAATAAAAAATGCTAAGTACTGCACCGATTGTGTGGTGGGTATGTCTGAATAATTTCATGTGATATCATGATATTTCATAAGATTTAATGCCTAAAATGACTTTAGTGAGTAACTTCTTCCATCATTAGCTAGCCGATCAATTATTTAGAGTTTAGGTTCAAGCTGCAACATTGCAGCATTGCAGGAAACAAAGTGGTTTTGCTTTGCGTCCTTGGAATAAGAATGGGTGTCCTCATTGTCCCTCACCTGCCGAGGGAGTAACACTGATGGCTTCCACTTCTGCTGGAAGAGCCAGCTCTTGGCTGTACAGCCTGTGTGTTGTGAGGCTGAGACGACAGGCACTCTGCAGATTGGAAGTGCAGGATTTACTCTTCTGAGTTACTGGAGAACTGGATGCGTCATAGACAAACTGAGAGCCGTTCAAGGGAGAAGTCGTGGTGAGATCCTTATGAGCTGCAGTCTCCTCTGTGGGGATACAAAAAGTGGGAATATATTTAGAACAGTTAGGCTTGGTAAAATCCATTCACCATTACTACACTTCATCAGAGTCATTATTTGAAAAATCTATTTAAAAAAAAAAAAAACTTTCAACAGATGAATCACCATCTGGCTAAAGCACACTGTGATACTGGAGGTCTCTTTCAATCATTAGAGATACTGTTAATAATTTCAGAACTTTTACACAGCAGACTTGTAATAAAGATTGCAAGGGAGACAAATCTGGACTTGGAACTTAAAGAATGCAAGGCATCTACAGTGATAAAGCCATTACTTAGTTACTAATTATAATTTTGCAATGCTTCCAGCTTTTTTTTAACCCTTAAAAACTTCCCTTTATAGTCTGCAATCATTTATTTTGGCTAAGGATTAAACAGGATGGCAGAAAACCTCTTACATCACCCAACTTTTAGGGTGTATGAATATATAAGCACCCACCCATAGTGACAGGTCGAGCAGCAAGATGGAGATGCCACATGTGGAGCAGTGAGCGACCTGTTGGGCTTAATTCTACCACCACCAGAAAAAAGCGGGCTGAGAAGGCTGGTTTACTGGAGGCTGCAGGGGAGGGGGGGAGGGGAGGGGGAGAGAGAGAGAAACCCACACAGTGATTTTTTTAATGAAAGGTGCAAGCAGCTGCTATTAAATACAGGCATGAAAACTAGGAAAAAATAGGTTTTACCCATGCGAGGAGAGTCGGGAGTTTCATGTATGCTCTCCGTTATCTCAGTGCCAAGAATCAGATGTTCCTCAAAAACATGCAGGAGCTGTGTCTCCTTCCCCTGCTGCAGAGAACAGCAGCAGATATTGTCAAACTACATCAGATGTAGACTCTGAACATCATTTTCTGTCTACACACTGACACAGACACAGGCTGTATTAATAGTACATGCACAAAGACACGCACACTCTAAGGAGACGAGGGAAGTTTTTTTTTTGCCTTTTATTATTGTGGTTGACCTTTCAGCGACTCAGGCCACTGCAGAATGCTTCATGCCACAAATGGTTTGCAAGTCAACAATGTTTTTTTGGGGGGTTGTTTTCAGGGGAAAACCTTCAAAGATTTCTGACAATGTCTGTCTACTGTTAGATGAGACAATCAGAAAGTCCCCAAATAAAGGAGGTTGAACTTTGTTTAGGGTGAGAAAACAACTCAGTTCTCTTGGACTCCATGTATACTTACAAAGTCAGTAATGGCATCCAGTTCTATAATACACCCTGGTTTTGCTGTGGACTGCTGACTGATAATGTTGAAAACCTCCCCAACATATTTCTGAAAGGTGACAAACAAAAACAAAAAAATCATCTGCATACATTTATAAATTAGTATTACACAGTTTAAATATGCAAGCAAATTATTTTACCAATTTGAAAATCACTTAACATCTTGCAACTGACAGCTAACAGGTGGCATAGTAAACGCAATAAAAGACATGCAAAAAAAAACCCAAAAAAAACCCAACATTTATATAACAATTTCTCCTCTTCTTGCTGCATACTACTTTTTTTCTGAGCTTTAAATGCTTCACTGCATTTCCATTTTGCCTGCAGTCATTTTTCTCCATCAAGTCATCTCAGGCCAACACTCGTAATAGCAAAATGGCAAAACAGTGACGTACATTATTTGACAGATTCTATAAATGGCTGAGTGTTGCTATTAATGTGCATGAAAATTGTCAGGCTTGATCACTTACTGATATTTCCGGATTGGAGAGCTCACTCAGAAGTTTCTTAGCCTCAATGACAGCCTGATAAAGCCTGAGTGATTGGCCATCACTTGCCACGAAGCAGGCACTGGGAGAGTTACAGTACAAACCTAAAAAGAAAAACAATTGAATGTTACCACTGTTATGCTTGTTTTTTCTAAATAAATATGTCAAGCATGTCAGGCAAACACTACTGAGATTTAACATTCACTCCTGTTTAATTCAGAAAATCTGAAGTCATTTGGTAAAGTAAGTTGCTTTTGTACATTTATCTACAATGCACAGTAGATGTGTCAACTGGACTAATAACCACACATGGAGACTCGTCTCAGACCTACTCTTATTTGGACATAGTTAACTATATAGAAAACAATAACAATAAACAATCCTTCACATCAATCAACCCTCCCAAACAAAAAACAAAAACACCAAACCAAAACAAACAAAAAAATCTCATTACTGCCTTTTTGCGAAGGCAACACACAATAAAGTACTTAGCAATCTGACCAATAATAATATTTTCTCACCTAAACAGCTGCTGGGAATGAGCGTGGGCAGCCAGGCTACATTAGCAAATGCTGATGCATGGAGAGAATTGATTCTAGCAAGCTCCGAGACCCCGCCTGACAACGACAGCGGGCCAACGGGGTCCACTCTCCATAAAATCAGCTCACTGTAGATCGCATTGGGATCCTGGGAAACCATACCCAGGGACACCCGCGTGGGTCGTGACCCACGAGATAGAGATGCAGAATGAGAAAAACCAGAGGAGGAGGCCTCTGGAGGAACCAAGATGCTGTCTGCCTCTGGAGTCCTCAAGGCATTGTGGTGTGAGGTGGTGAGGAGAAGAGGGAGCAGCGAGTGACAGGCCAGGTCGTTGAGGTGAAAGCGGTGACCACAGTACCGTGACTTGTGAGAGACACTGAGCACAGTCGAGAAAGCAGAGTCCTCTGCAAAGCTGACTGCCCACTGGTTTAAAGAGCCATCAGCATGTGTGGAGATCATAAGGACATTGGGGGTGAATATGCTTAATCGGAGACTACTGCTGGGTGCAGATTTTCCTTGACCTCCGTAGCTTATTAGAGCAGATTTGGCTTGAGGCAATGTGCTCCCAGGCGGTCGCTGTCTGCCATGTTGGATAGCTAGATCCACGTTCTTGTTGCAGGCATACATTACCACACTTTGGCTCAGGGAGATGGCGTCACCTGCGGGGAACGCTACAGGAATGCGGGATGCAAACGACACCTGAGACAGAAAGAGATGTCATAGCAATGTCATCAAAAGTGACTGTAATTTGCAGCTCAGATTTAAAGAGGAGGACTAATTAAACTAATTAAAACAGCCAGGCCTAAAAAATGAATGCCAATGAAACCTGAGATTCGGTTTTATGCCTGAATGACCAGATTCTCTGTCCTCATTATTTTTACTGCTCATAAAAATGCACTAGGGCATGTCTGAATTTGATATGAAGTCACAGACAAGTACATTATATTTGTGTGAGTCGCAAGATGAGAAGACATTAGAACAAGTACACCATCACAACTGTGAAAATAAATCACAACCTTACTCTGATGATAAATTAATGATTTTCCCACAAAGCACTTTCTGAAATTCTGAATATAAACAAATAACTAAATAGAAAACTGTTTAATCTAAAGTTTAAAGTTATATTTTGAGCAGAATTCAGTTACCTTTGATTCACTGTAGGGCTGCATGATTATAGTCAAATGATTATTATTAACTATTATTTTGATCAATATTGAGATCACGGTTATTTATCAGGGTTATTTATTGATTATAGCGGAAAAAAGGTTTTAGTTACAATTTTCATTAAACATAAACTTGCTTTTATGTTGTGCAATATTTCCACTAATGTAAAATCTTTGCTTAAAAATAATACTGAACTTCCTCATTGACCTAAATTAAGTAAATCTCTTAGAAGAAAAATTAAGTCTTTCACCCCATCGATTGTACTTGCATGATTAATAAAACTTAGCAGCAAATGTTTTGCATATGGTGTAGGTTTTACCAGAAAAATAATTCAAGAATAGATAACAGCAGCATGCCGGCCAATTTTCCAAAGCCTTTGTTACTGTTCACTGTGTTTACTGGACACTTGTCTCTGCCCAAATAAAATGTGATTAGATGGATGATTTTAGTGCGTCTTTGGGAGCTAGATGGTTATGCAGATGTGGTGTACAGGCTTGCTTTTATAAATGTCTCAGATGAGGTTGAATGACTCGTGCTGGCAACATCTGCATTGTTTTCTTAGCCTTCAAGCATTAATAATACTGCAGTTTTTGGCATGTTTTCAGGAGGCTGAATATAAGTTAGTAGTCTTCCCTTACAGACTAGTCAACCCTACAGCACTTTTTGCAGATGATTTCTTTATAGTTAACGTTACTTGTGCCAAATCAGAAGTACTTCCAAACAACGGATGACGACCCACTTTGAGGGACAAGTTCTTCACCTTCTGTTGTGCTAGATATTAAAATTTTGTAGTATCTGTATTTTTAACAAAGACTTTGTTATTCAGACCAATCAAGAAAATTTCAAGCTTGCATGGGACAGACGCAGGCACACTATCAGGTCCTGATTAAGGGGGTGCTTGACTTGTTTTTACTTTGTGTTCTTTTAGAAGAACATGCATTTTCAATAACAGTTATTTATGTTCATTTATTTATTATAGAGAAAAATCCATATTGAGATTAAATTAAGACCAATTGTGCAGCTAACTGTGCAGTTTCTCTGTGTATCAACCTCTGAAATAAGACTATAAAAGATAAAGAGGAAAGAAACTGGAGGAATACTCTCATGAAAGAAACAGAATGAATGTACAACTGCTCTATATAAAGAACAACAGCAGCAAAGTACCTGAGCTTGTCTGAACATGCCTGGGTGGTATTCATCTAACCAGTCCACATGCCAGACCAACAAAGAGCCATCCATGGGATGAATACTGAACAGCATGTCAGCCCCTTTATTCCACTCCTCTAACAGCACATCCAACTGGTGCTCCACTGCTGCCAGAGGCAGCTCCACAGTTCCTGGTCCTTGGGGTTCACTTAGTCTGTTCTCCTCTTCTTCAAAGTCATCTTCATTTTCAGGCTCTGGAAAAGAATACAAATCATGGTAGCCAAACAATATGTTAAATTCTATTCTAAAGGTTAGACTTTAACTGTCACTGTTACTACAGCTTCACATGCACACACCCATTACTGACTCATCCAAATCATTTCTCTCTACCTTCATTGGAGCACTCGTTCTGTTGCTCTACACTAATTCGAAGCTGCTGCAGAAAGACTTCCATGGCTAAAGTAAAGTGAAGCTCTTTGTTGTTGAGCCAGTGGACAGAAAATGGGCCTCCTGGTTCCTCATCATCCACAGCGTTCAGAGAGGAGATGGAGGGCAACAGGGGAATGTCTGTGAAACATACAAGTTATACGCTGTTAAACATTTAGAAAAATTAATGAATAAATAACAACAACAACAAAATATACATCAGACCGGGCTGCTGACATGCAGGACAAAAATCTATCTGCTGGAGCAAATTAACTTTCATGAATGTAAGCATGGTTTAGTATCCTAAAACATAATCCAAGCATACAAATCCTGCAGGACTTCTCAGCCTGAAGGCTGAAAGAGTCTACATGATTTTATCCTAATTCAGGTCAAATTAAGCAACCCAACTAAAACAGAGAGGAAGAAAATGAAATGCTCACAGTTACTCTGAACAGCTCTCACTGAGCACAAGCTCACTGGAATGTTAAAGAAACAACCTCAGGCAATCTGCAAAATTAATGGTATTTTTGCCAAGAGGTTAAGACTTCTGACTTCCAGCTGAGTTAACCATCCATGTACTCTGTATAGTTCAGGAATAGCAAATGATGTGCTTTAGTTCATTCGTCTTTATTAAGAACTTTATGTCATGTTAAAGCTTTAGTTCTTCAATATGAGAGATTTCTTTTGGTATTTAACAAAATACCAGTGATGGGGATCAACAGGATTATTAAGTAGTTTCAGAGTGTGTTCAAGTCAAACCTGTGGCTGGGTTGATGCTGGCAGCAATGTGAAAGTGGCAGAGAGCATTGGCATGGGGCATGTTATTGCTGCTCTTCTTGTGGTTACAGTGTCCACTTTGAAGGTGAGGCAGGCCGCCGGTCCATGATAGCTGAGGTATGTCCCGATAGTGCCGCGATTCTTGAAAATCCAGCTGTGCAGAAAACAAGTATGATTATTATGAAATATTGCTCAAATGTCAATTTAATATTTTATGACTGCAGACATCGTCTGTGCCATCCAAATGCATAATACTAATTGTGAGAGACACTAAAATATTACATTAACCTGTAGAAATGTGGAGCTACTTAAATAAGATTAAAAAGAGGAAAATGAAACACCATTGTTCCCTGTTGCCTTTTCAGGCTGAAACAACAATACAGGTTGAGCTTGCCTTTGGAGGTTGATGTGAATTAATCAACTTGTGTCGACTAACAACCCTCTCCAGCTCTCATCCCAGCCTGTGTTAAGCTACTCTACTTTGGTGAACAGGTGGTCCCCTCAGGGTGGGATTTTAATTTATTGGTATTGATGTTTAAACTGCATTTAAGTGAAGTGCCCAATTTGTCTTAAAACAGAGCAACAAGGAGCTGGCAACATGGAGGAGTGGCTGTCACAGAGAGTTTATAGAAGAAATTGTAAAGTTTATTTGGTATTTAGGTTATGTAATTTGGACTTTGCTTTGCTGTCTCACAGTAGACTGCACCTAAATGCCCCAATGGAAAACAAGTCTCACAGGATGACAAACAATAATTTAAAAGCAGAGTTTCTTTAACCAAATATGTGATTGTATCTAGACTCACAGGTGCAAAATGAGTACGATAAAACGAGCTGTAAACCTGCAGGTTTTGAGATTTATGAAGACTACAAGTAAACTCACCATTAAGAAGACATGACAAAGCAGGTACAAATACTTTTAAATGAAATCCCATAACCTTGCCTCCTCCAGATGTTCTCAAATAACAACTTATTCAGAATATTAGGGCTTAATTAACTGCACTGATTTGCAAGAACATTTGCTGGGATTTCTAATAAATAATTCCATACCGGTACTCTTACAGACTGTGCGTATCCATTTTTTTTGTAAACTAATATGCCCCAAGCTTTTCAAGCATTGGTAACACCAACAACTTTCCAAAGATAAAATGAATGTCGATTAGGATGTTGCGAACAAGCTGGGTCAACACACCAGTATTGCAAACACAAACATGCGCCAGACAACTGAAAAAGGTTAAACACCGATCAAAAGTCAGAGGTATAATTTTAAGGTATTGTACACATTACAGAAAGGCAGACAGTTTCAAAAACCTTCATGTCTGAGACCATTAATTTTTCCTTTTAACTATACCAAACCTCTGTTGCTCTCCATCTACCTTCTCAAAGTTGTTTTGAAATTTCTCAGTGCCTCTTTGTTCTTTTACTCTCATCCCTAAAGTATCACTGTGCAATACATAAAAATACAAAAGCTTGGAAATTATTTCTGCAGAAAAAAAGGGGAAACCACAAATCATATCATTTGTACCATCCATTTCCAACTACACAGGAAATTACAACTTATTTCTTTTTGCATGTTGTATACAAACCAGAGAGCGATACAGCTTTACAAATAATACTTCTGATACGGACAGGTTATACCCAAAAAGCACAAAGTTTCCAATGCAACAGTGTGATGAAATGAAATGAAATTTCTGCAGCCAGTGTAACACTCTGTCAGATTATCATTTCAAAGCAAAAAGGAAAGAAAGCATGACATCTGAACACCTGATAAAGTGCATATATGGGAGTATCTAGGGAAGCCATGAACAACACTGATGATCTTTTCACAGCTTGTTCTCTGTTATAAAGATAGAATTATTTACACAAAATGATGTGAGGTCCTTTTAAATATTCAGTTCATCCTAATTATTAATATCACTTAAGAAAAAATAAAGCACTGACATACAAGTCTTACTATGCAATGCTAGACTTAGAGGCGTATAATGAGAAATTCTTCAAATTAAATAAAGCACCATAAAAATCATGTGTTTCACTTGTGTTAGTAAACTATATTTAAACTGATCATGAGCAAAGGGTCCTGCCAAATTAAAAAAAATTAAACTAAAGTAATTGCGCATTGTTTTGTTTATCGAAACAACAAATTGCATTTTTGTGTTTGATTTTTAATTTCGAGCCTGTGTGCAAATAGTATAGATTTTTACATTTCATGTGTTTCCAGTGATGTGTTGCTAAAAAGGCCTTGTTTTCTGCACTGTCATACAGCCACACTAATAAAAAGTAAGCACCACTATGACTTAAACTGAAAATAAAGGTTAAATGCAGGATTGCTTAATTAGACTGCGTTAACTTTAGCAAAGTCCTGCTGATTATACTGAGTGTTTATTTTAAGCAGGAAAGTCAAAGTCATTGTGGCTTACTTCTTGTGAAGCTTGTCCGTGTGTCTTCCCATTGCAGCCGTTTTTCTTTGAGAGGCCAGCAGAAGATTTAAGCGTTTCACTGTGTTGGCCAGAAGAATTGTTTTTATGGTGACCAGATAAGAGGCTGTCACCTGGCAACAGCGTCTCTGCCCACAGCCGACATACACTGTCCTTACAGCAGGTGAGCAGCACATTACACACTGCGCCCCTGTTAGGATAAAGGAGGGAGAAAAAGAGAGAGATTAAAAATAAAAATTAATGGAATTTTAATTTCAATTACAATTCTGTCTTACAATGATTATTACATCAAGATAACTGAGACAGAAATGATTATTTGTCTCAATCCATTTCACATTTGTGCTCTCGTTTTGCATTTCTGCCCCTTATTTTCACTTACTTTTGCCCCTAATAAAAAATTCACATGTGACACCTTGCCAGCTCACATTTATTTATTTAATTCTTAAATTATAGTTGAAGTTCAGTTAAATCTCTTTAATTAAGATAACTGTGTTTTTCCTTTTTCAAAGTTCAGTGTAGTTTTCTTAAATTTAATTGTGTACGTAATTGTGTGGTTCTTCTGCTTGATGCCTGCAACAAGAGCACCAGATTGCTGCAATTCCCCTCCTGTGTGGAAGCCCTCTGAAGCTCACATACGATTACCAATATTATATAAAGCTATGAAACAATTTGGAATGTGCCAAATTTATTCAACCCACACCATCTGTAGTGACATATTTTAAATAAACAAAGACAGACATCAAACCTGTCCACAACAAGTTACCTCAAGCTGCTTTCTACTCCAATGTAAAGAAGATAAAGACCTAATATTTTTCAACCATCCTTTCAACCAGCTTGTTAACTTAGGCATTTTTTTTCTTTTGCCCAGCTGTGGAAAGTTAGGTCAAAATTACCTAACCTTCAAAGAAAAGGAAGTTAAAGAAAAGGAAGTTAAAAAAGGCTATGAGATGACAAATTAACAGTGTCTGTACCGTGGCATGTACTTGCTGGTCTTCCTCCAGGAGAAACTGGTGACAGAGCGGGGATGAGCCAGGTAGATAAAGGAGAAGGCCAGCTCTCCCGGGTCACTCATATTGACGTCTGGAGGTGTAAAGAGTGTGGTAACACCCATCTTCCACTTACTGGTGCTGTACCAAACCTTTATTAGGCAATCATCCTGAAAAGAAGAGGCAATGAAGGATATAAACGATACCATAGGTAGTTCTAACAAAAAACACACGACACCACAAGGTAGAAGTTAATTATTATCTACTAATTTCACATGAATCTAGAGTGTTCAGTTTTTAAGTGCGATGTAACAAAGGGACACAACTTACCTGACCAGCTGTGGCAAAGAACTCACCGTCAGGAGAGAACTTCATTAAATTGACTGGAGAAGCAGTCCTTGAGATACAAAATAAAATTATATTCAACACTCCATGTCAATAATTTTAGACTTGAAGATATAAAATATATAATAAGTAATGTTTAGGACAAAATCAAATAGGTTTAAACAAATTGCAGCAGGACATGCACTCAATCGGATAACTGAGGGCATGTCCTGTTGCAGTCAGATTTGTATTGAATATAATGTTACAGAAAAATGTGCATTAGCTGATTTTATTTTAAATGTCCATTTGGTCAAGTCTCTGTCTTGTTTGTGACTATTTTACAAACTCTGTTCTTACTTGCTCTGCCAGATACACCTCCAGGCAGAACGGCAGTCTCTTATAATCATTTCTGCCGGCTGCCCCGTTTCATCAGCTTCGTCCTTTACTCCATCAACATTAGACCACAACTGCAGGCTACTAGAGCCTGTTAGGAGAGTGCAACCTGGACAGACAAACATATACAGATATGATCTTTCAGAACAGCTATCATCAAATTTCTGTTTAAAAAAAAGTATTAAAAATTTATATTTTGCCAGATCTGTAGTACCACCCCAACACTTCTTTTTAAATCACAACTGTTTATCTTAATATGTCTGTGTTACTTTAAGAAAGAACAATGGTTAGAGTACCTGTAGGGTGCCATGCTAGGTTCCGTACTATAGACTGTAATACAAATTGACCAGTCTTCTGCCATTGGCAGTTCAATTTCTGTACAGGAAAAACAGAAAAAGGCAACATTCAAAACAAGTATTTCATGTTTTTGCAATTATGTTGGCTGAAACTTTGTGCAATAATTCCCTATTTGAATAAGCTCAGAAATAAATCAATTCCCTGTTTCGATGGTACATGTGGAACTATAGATGAAGCTTTAACAAGCGCTAACAGTGAACTTTCAATTGAGTCACATGCAATCAGGCAACACACACACACACAGCATTGTAATACCAGGGAACTTCTGCAATAAACGAAATACGGTTTGTACTTAAGATGTTGTAAATTCTTCTCATTTCTTGTGGCTATTCTTTGACTTCTCTAACAACAGCTCAGACAAAACAAACGTCTTTACGGACTACTGAACAGAAATCAAAACAGTGAACATGACAATAATCGCATGATTTATGCAAGTAGTTGCAGAGGAACAATATTCTGCTCCATTTCAAATATCAAGAGAGTTTTGCCACACAGAAAAAGCTTCATTCATTCATTCTGGATGACCTGAAAACATGCATGACTATACTGTGACTGGAAGAAAGTGCAGGCTACTCACGGTCAACGATGCGTCTTTTTGATCTGGTTGCTGAACAGGCTCAAAGACACACACAATGCTTCCATAGGAAGCTGCAATCTGCCAGCAAAAAAAGGTCGACATTTTAGATATACTACAAAACAAATAAAAAGATATTACTGCAAACAGAAACATATATTGTCCTCCATATCAGCCTAGTTATCCAAATTTAAGTAATTCAAAAAAATTTGTGAAAGCTTAAACTTGTGCTTTGTAATATAGATCGAAAATACTAATACTTATAGATCCTAATCAGAATCAACTATAACTTGCTTTATGAGTCATGACATATCTACATAGTAAGAGAGAAGACACCTTGACAACAGGCCAATAAATAAATAAATAAATACCTTAAGTCATAACAACTCAGTGATGAGTGAATATAGTCTTATCTACTCTATTCACACCTCAATTTCATCAATTTGTAAGGGCTAAATTTTCAAGTAATTTCCATGGGTCATAATGTTAACTGAGCAAACGATAATACAAGCTGTGTCTTTAATGTGGTAAATAATATGCCAACTGTCAGGGAGGGAATTCTGTGAAGGGGTGAGTCACATGCACATGTTTAAATGTGTGTACACAGACATACAAGTCATCACATGCACAAGCATAGTCACATGGACACTATACAATGGCTCAAAGTATAAGACAGGCTTTTTGGGGCACAAATATAGGTTCTGCAGAAGCAGCACAGTTCAAATTTAATTAAATTCTAAAAGGCAGACACATTTATGCTGAGATCAAGTTCTGGGGATAAAGCAGTCAATTCAACATGAGCCAGTAGAGCGACTGACAAAAAGAAAGAAAATGTGAGTTATAAAAAATTAAGTCTCCTTCTCTGTGGTTATAATGATGACTACTCTTTGGTCTGATTTTCATAAACCCCCAACTGAGACTTTAAGATGGTATTATGTTAATATATATGAATATTACAAGAGACATCGTAAGGCTCTCATGAAACCATTAACTTTACCAAGAAGAGATGAACAGTAGATTTGCAGGGCTAACTGTGATGGATGCAGCTTTTAAAAAAGTTATTTTTACTGCTTTATGATGTTTGTAGAGCTCGCTTGCTCCACCTCCATACTGACTTTCTTTATTTGATTTCTCATCGCAAGTAGACATATACTTCTCAAAATAGTGTAGTAATATTTATTCTCTAGACACCTAATTACCCTTTAAAATAATGTATTTGGAAAATATATCCTTAATAGGAACAACTTACTAAAGCTCATAAAATGATATGAAGTGCTACAACACTTAAAGTATGAGCACAAAGGATGTACTATGTAAACTAATAGCATTGCAAATATCACAGTGAGCAGAGGGCAATGAAGTGGAAATGGCAAGCAGACCAACTTGGCATACTTAAACAGATGCTAGACCATGCTGGAGGCGTGTGTGGGTAGTTCTGGCCCAACGGAATTGGATTTAAGGTCACAAGGGAAGAAGTGAACGACTGGTTGAGCATGTTTTATATTTATTGAAATTATTGCAGTGTTGCCTGCACTTTTTAAAAAAAAGGCTACCACCCTCCCTAATTAAAAACTAATCCCAGTTCATTAGAATTCTGCTATATGATCTTTATTATCAGGTTTATGCAGATGTTGCAAGCTGCTTTTGTAAGCTGCTTTTGCAGCAATGCTACTTACCAACAAGCAGAACTGTGAGTACTCGACTGTATAATGACTGTTGTCATTATGTACCAAGTTTTGTTTCCAGAGACACAAGAAATGTGTAGTGTATTAAGAAATAACCTAAATTCTATGTTATTTTATCCTCTTCCCTTTTCTTTTTTTTTTTTACTAAAGAATCAAATTTAAATTCATGAAAAGAAGCCACTGTACAGGGTGAATATCTTGTAAATATACATTTAGATTTAAATATATACAAATAAATAAATACAGCCTGAGACAAGTAAACAGTATCCACAAGGGACAACCTTTAAAGTAAAATTGTCAGCAGAGCCCAAAGTTGATAGAAGAGTCATACTCTTACGATGAAAACTTGAGATGCGCTGATATATTGGTCAATATCAGTCTACTGACTGTCTTTAATACTCAGATAAAAGAAGACAACATATTAATGGCAGCCACTTATGGTTATGGCTTAGTCACACAAGTAAAAGTTGGCCATCTCCAGCGGTCCGCCTCCAAATGGCTCTCGCAGGTAGGAACAACCAATGCTTGCCTGGTGACTTTTCGCATTTGGCAATCAATTATAAACAGCTGTGGCCACTAACTGATTAACCAAAGGTTGAACGTGCAACACTTTCAATCTTTAGCTGACCGCTTTTGATCATAAGGCAATCGCAGAGGTCACCTGCTATGAGTCTCCAAACATTTGTGGTCTGACTGCAGAGTAACTGATATGAAGCTCAGAAAGAATGGCAAGAGTCAGTCAGATTCTTTAAATTGCAAACTTAATTTTTTAAGTAACGTTATGCATTTCCTCATTTTCCTAAGAACTTTGCAACCGCAATGACATCACTATCTACTTCCTTAATTAGGTCCATCAAAGCAAATGCAAAAGAAAATCTTTCATCGTCTTTGTTCTGCATATGAAATGGGAAAGGCAATTAAGAATAGAACAGAAAGACTACGTTAAATAACTACATCTTTTTTTTCTTAAATGCAAATTACAATCACAGAAGATCTTTTGTTTGTGCCCACATTAAAGGACTTGTCAGTGACAACAGCAAATGCACTTGCTGTACAATCACCAGCTTCACTGGGTGGTTTTTACTTCACTTAGAGCTGATGACGGGAAGCTCGAGTTCATTAAGCTGCTCATTGATGTTGCCCGCAAGTGACTTTCCTGAAAGCATAAGCTGCCAACACTTAAGACAGCAATAGAGATTGCTAATAAATTGCACTGCAAAACAGCTAATATACCAAAACAACTAAAAACAGCAAGTCACAAAGTGGAACTTGCTTACCACTCAATATAATCAACCACACATGTGTGGTCATTATATTAAAGTCAAAGAAAACGGTATGTCATGGGGCCCTGCAATGTTTAGCACCTTCTGCTTTTTTTCTTTTTAATTTAATTATGGGTCAGATGTTTCTTCAAACATTAAAGCTAATTTATAGTTGATCGTTGCTTTGTCCCAAGTAACCAAAAAACAGTTTATGGGTTTGGAATGAATATAATGTCTTATAACTTTATTCAAGGCTGGAACTAAAATATATTTAAATTCCATTTTTCAATTAATTATCCATTTTGTCTAAAAAACAAAACTAATACAAACTAATACCTTAAAATGATATACAACAAAGACAAGCACTGAATCTGCACCTTTTCTAAGCTCAAGAAACTAAGTGTTTGGTATTTTTATGTGGAAAAATAAATATAATTAAAACAATTAATGAGCTATAAATAGGGCTGGGCCATATCATACCATCCACGGTAATACCGGTATAATGTTGGGCAATAATAAGAAAATGAAATATCGCGATAGAATATGGGTAAAATGCGCATGCGCTGTGCCTTTGTTTTCATACGCACATGCGGAAAAAGCATGGCGGCGATGGAGAATGAGAAGGGCGAAAGCGGATTGTTGAATGAAATGGATGAACCAAAATTGGTTTGTAAAAATGCTGCAACTTCAGTGGTGTGGAACTGGTTTAGCTTTTGTCCGTCAGATACACAACAAAGCACTATTTTTGGTAGAGCGTGCTAGCGGGCCGTCGTTATTACCGTGTTTTTTGGAAAATACGGTACACTTAAAATCAATCCTTTGATTTTTCTGAAAATCGACAGTGCCCCTTATAATCTTGTGTGCCTTATGTATGAATTCTGGTTGTGTTTGCTGACCTCGAAACAATTTTATGTACACGGCGCTCAAAAATCTGTCAAATGTTTTAGTATGACTTTGCTAAACTACGAAGCCGCACCGCTTGATGGATTGTCGGAGCATTACGGCTATCGTAGGCAGGAGCCTCGTGGAGTGATACGTACTGTGCTTCAACATAATATTACTGTATTGTGTGTGTATAACCTTTTTTTAAGTTTTGTGGATATTATACATGGTTATACTGAAGATATGTCGGCCAATTTCAACTGGAAATGCCTTTTGGTTAAACTGTCAGCAAGGAATTTGCATTTGCACTGTAAAATATTTATGCAACTTTAATGCAAATAAAAAACAGCTGCTTGTTTAAGTGAAAATACATTAATGGGGTTTTTTTTTTTTGCACTAATAAACTTGTGGAGTTGTAAAGTATTTTGTCTAGCGTCAATTATATCGTCAGTTATATCGTTATCGCAAATTTTCAAATGTATATCGTGATAAATATTTTTGGTCATATCACCCTGCTCTAGCTATAAATATATGTTATCGTCTAATGGTCTTACATAATTACTCTGTGGCAAACCATTTATCTTTTACTGAAATCTGGCTCCATTTATTTTCACTGGGTTTTGCTTTAGTTACCATCACTGGGATCTCACGCTTGAGCATTCAAGCACAGGTCAGCCTGAGGACCCCAGTGAACAAAAGCACCACACAGTTGGCCTTACCTGTCCACCCTGCAATGAGCAGTTGACACAGCCGACCTGTATGTTGCCATGTTTGGCCCCTGGGATGATCTGCAGCCGCTCAAAATCACTGCCCAAAATCACCACGTCACAACCTGATGCATAGGCCTATCAAGAGACAAGACAGTGAGAGGGTTAGAGAAATGAACATGATACTCTAAGATTCATCCGGCCAGGATTGCATGAAGGGTCACTTGAACTGCACTTGTCCCAGAGCTATTATCAAGGCATCAAACATGCCATCATATGACAGTCCTCAAGTCCAAGCAGATAAGATTAGAATTCCATGCTCTATTTCTGTGGCACTCATAAGGAGCTCCTCACATGAACTGTGATTCACTATGACTTTTCCTCTTTCACAAGAGGACATAAGGACAGAAATGGCTCCCCGATTAATCCATTCCTGAAAAGCATGTTGCCAGTGTCTGAAATTAGCACTCTGACTCACCTGTCAAGGGGTCAGGTAGACAAAATCCATCAATAAGGTTGTTTTTTTTTTTTATACCAGTCTCATGAGATGGAATTACATTTTGAATAAAACCTACCCTTGAAGGAAAAAAGAAGTTTATTTTAGCCCTCAATGCTCTGAAAAATTAGAGCATTAAAAAAAATGTAATGTAATCTAATTACTGTAATCAACTTAAATCTCCTTTCTTCACTGTTCAGACTCTACTGTAATCACATTCTTCTTTGCATGGTGTCAAAGGTTTGGCCGCCTCCTCACAAACTCATGAAACCACAGAATGACCAGTACAGGCAGGTTTTCACACACTGGTGATTAGTTGGTGTTTATTACTTACTTCGAGGCAGAGTTGGGTGACAGCAGAACATACGATAACATTTTGACAAATAATAAAACAATGACTCAGAAAGCCTATAATACAGCAGAGACTTTCATTATTGTTGTTGTTGTTTTTTAAATTACATTTATTTTATTTACAAAGTTGCCACCAGTGTGGCGAACATTTATTTAATTCTCTAATAGAGTTTTAAGCTTTGAGATCACATGTATTTCAGCTTCTGTTTTTCATACATAACAAAGTCTCAAGCCCATTAAACAACTTTGTGCGGTACATTAGCACATTAGGTTTCAAAGGAATCTCCTAGGAAATCTGCTATTGTGACAAATCAGTTTAGCCACCCCCCATGAATCAAAGCTCCTAAACTGCTGAGGGGGGAAATACTTCCAGAGTCTGAAATATCTTACCGTGAATGGCACATTGTTTACGCTTCCTACAGAGAAACAGTTGTCTCCAGGGTTGACAGCTCCCGTAAGGACCTGATGGAGATTCATGACTCCTGATTATAGTCCACGTGTTATCCTTCCTCTTCTTGCTCTTTTCACAGAACCCTCCCACTGCAGGTGAGATTCATGGGAAACCATGAGAAGGATTTGCTCATCTTTGTGTGTAACCTATAATTTCACATCAGCAGCATCACTACAGACTTGCTGTCACAAGAAGAAGAGGAGGAAGAGATACACAGCACATGAGTTGGTTCAGTCAGCGTCAAGCCTCAAGTACATTACCGACTCCCGGATATTGACTGCAAATTAATTTTAACACTCAGCACTTGTAATATTAGCATGGAAGAAATAAATGTCTCTAAACAGTCTTTGTCAAACCACACTATGAAGGCAAGGCATTCAGTAATCTTAAAAACATTTTGTAAAAGAGCCTTGGTGTACCTTGGTATTAGTCTTTTTATTTAGCAAACAGACAGCTTAGCAAACTGGCACCAAAGCTCTTCTGATCCCCGTGACCCATCTCCGAATTTAAAAATGCACACCATTAGTTCAGCATCAGCACTTTTAGAGGTTATAACCAAGAGGGCTTTAATTGAAAGAGATATGCAGTCAGCTTGGCAGACCAGTTTCTAATTGTGCTAGAAAAGTATTCAGAATCTGTAATAAATGGAGTAACAACCAGAATGGATAAAAAGTGATAGGGGCTAAAATATGAAGGGAATTTTTCACTGTGGCTAAAATTGGGAGCACTGCAGAAGCAAGGTGATGGTGTAGCTAATGTTTTGCTAGCTCTGTGCACATTATCTAGTTACAGGAGGGAAATTTGAAACCACTGTCAAAGGTACATATTTGCACATAGCTGAAACAGCACTGACTGTCTTAACAAAAGACAAATACAAAACAGTTCTCCCAGAGTTACTGTTCCTTCAGTAACAGGAACAGATGTGGGATTTAAAAGGGTTTACTATTTACACTTTAACAAACAGTATTTCACCTTTGTGTATTTGGCAGCGAAGTAAATTCAATACAAAGAGTCCATTAATCAAAAGGGTGCAGGGAATTTGTACGGAGGGTTAAATGGATCACCGGTGCAGGTTACACCTTACTGTAACCCTACAAGCCCGGTTAATCAACTTATCATACAATCAAGGGCTGAACAGTCAGCAAATCACACGTTTAAACAAGTATAGATTACGTATCGACCGCAGGTGCGCTACTGAAAATAATGAACGAAAAGTTTCAGAGACAGTTTTAACGATCCAAAAGTTTAACGCTACAGAACAAAAATAACACCACTAGAAGGATAAAAAAAATCCACGTCAGAGGGGTTAACATATGCTTCCTGTGCTGTGGCAACTCACGTGATAACGTTTCACAAGCCAGCGCATTAAAACACAGCTACCGATACCTCATCTGACTACCATTGTTTCTCCCGTTTAGATAAAAGCGTGCATTTAGCTCACTGTCACTGTGCAAAAGCAGACATTTCATACATGTTTTCAATCCCTGCAGTCGTAACGCTAACTTAGCTGTCAAGTTTAACTAGCTATCAGCAGTCTTTCAGGACACACAGTAACACCACCAGTAATTATCTGCTTACCTTATGCTGCTGCTTCTTGACATCTCCTGCAGATATAACATCAACGGTTACTCCCGTCGCCTGATGTTTTCGGTGAATACAGTTATAATCTCACGGATTTGGTTTTAGTTTAGCTAGCTTTTGCTAGCGTTAGCTCGCACTAGCCTCTGAAGCTCGCTCTCTGAGCAGGCTCCTAGGCTACAACGCTAGCACTAGGTCACTTATGGCGCACATTTGCCCAACAGTCTCTACTTTACGAGAGAAGGAACTATCTATTGACTCAAAATGTTGACTCTGAGTAGGAGTCACCCTCTGCCCGAGGTTAGCAAATAAAACCCTTCCAAAGAGGAAGCTTTTCCTTATGTTGAAGATATGTGATGATAATGACTGTTTCGCTGCAAAGCATCGTGGGTCTTGTAGTTTTAAAACCTTGCTCGCACTCTCGCGCGTGACGTTCACGCACACAGGCTTACAGTTGAAGCTAACACGTTTTGCGTCGTTTTTCGTTGGTGCATTGGCTTGTATAGAGAAGGTAAAGAGTTAAATACAGCCATACCTGGAGATGGTTGTATTTAACGTTTTTCTTTTACACTTTAAAAATGTAAAAACGTAAAAATATGACTTTTATGTTGTTTGAACTTTGCCCCCCAAATTTTTCATTAGCACTATCATACAGTAGGAGTATTTTTGAGCACTGTACTGACTGTAGGTTGACCAGTTCATAACTAAAACGTGTGG